TCCGGTATCAGATTTAGTGAAAAACGTTTCCTCTGGATTTTCAAAACTAGCGGTTCACGCAAGGCAGTCAACTCATACAGGTGGAAAAACATATTTTTTTCTGATAAGGCCAAAATTCCCAAAAAATTCATACAAACTAATTCAGACCCATAAAGAACGAATCCGGTATCAGATTTAGTGAGAAACGTTTCCTCTGGATTTTCAAAATTAGCGGTTCACGCAAATCAGTCAACTCATACAGGTGGAAAAACATTTTTTTTTCTGATAAGGCCAAAATTCCCAGAAAATTCATACAAACTAATTCAGACCCATAAAGAACGAATCCGGTATCAGATTTAGTGAAAAACGTTTCCTCTGGATTTTCAAAACTAGCGGTTCACGCAAATCAGTCAACTCATACAGGTGGAAAAACATTTTTTTTTTCTGATAAGGCCAAAATTCCCAAAAAATTCATACAAACTAATTGAGACCCATAAAGAACGAATCCGGTATCAGATTTAGTGAAAAACGTTTCCTCTGGATTTTCAAAACTAGCGGTTCACGCAAATCAGTCAACTCATACAGGTGGAAAAACATTTTTTTTTTCTGATAAGGCCAAAATTCCCAAAAAATTCATACATACTAATTCAGACCCATAAAGAACGAATCCGGTATCAGATTTAGTGAAAAACGTTTCCTCTGGATTTTCAAAACTAGCGGTTCACGCAAGGCAGTCAACTCATACAGGTGGAAAAACATTTTTTTTTTCTGATGGGGCCAAAATTCCCAAAAAATTCATACAAACTAATTCAGACCCATAAAGAACGAATCCGGTATCAGATTTAGTGAAAAACGTTTCCTCTGGATTTTCAAAACTAGCGGTTCACGCAAGGCAGTCAACTCATACAGGTGGAAAAACATTTTTTTTTTCTGATGGGGCCAAAATTCCCAAAAAATTCATACAAACTAATTCAGACCCATAAAGAACGAATCCGGTATCAGATTTAGTGAGAAACGTTTCCTCTGGATTTTCAAAATTAGCGGTTCACGCAAATCAGTCAACTCATACAGGTGGAAAAACATTTTTTTTTCTGATAAGGCCAAAATTCCCAGAAAATTCATACAAACTAATTCAGACCCATAAAGAACGAATCCGGTATTAGATTTAGTGAAAAACGTTTCCTCTGGATTTTCAAAACTAGCGGTTCACGCAAGGCAGTCAACTCATACAGGTGGAAAAACATATTTTTTTCTGATAAGGCCAAAATTCCCAAAAAATTCATACAAACTAATTCAGACCCATAAAGAACGAATCCGGTATCAGAATTAGTGAAAAACGTTTCCTCTGGATTTTTTCACGCAAGGCAGTCAACTCATACAGGTGGAAAAACATTTTTTTTTTGATGAGGCTAAAATTCCCAAAAAATTCATACAAACTAATTCAGACCCATAAACAACGAATCCGGTATCAGATTTAGTGAAAAACGTTTCCTCTGGATTTTCAAAACTAGCGGTTCACGCAAGGCAGTCAACTCATACAGGTGGAAAAACATTTTTTTTTTCTGATGGGGCCAAAATTCCCAAAAAATTCATACAAACTAATTCAGACCCATAAAGAACGAATCCGGTATCAGATTTAGTGAGAAACGTTTCCTCTGGATTTTCAAAATTAGCGGTTCACGCAAATCAGTCAACTCATACAGGTGGAAAAACATTTTTTTTTCTGATAAGGCCAAAATTCCCAGAAAATTCATACAAACTAATTCAGACCCATAAAGAACGAATCCGGTATTAGATTTAGTGAAAAACGTTTCCTCTGGATTTTCAAAACTAGCGGTTCACGCAAGGCAGTCAACTCATACAGGTGGAAAAACATTTTTTTTTCTGATAAGGCCAAAATTCCCAAAAAATTCATACAAACTAATTCAGGCTCATAAAGAACGAATCCGGTATTAGATTTAGTGAAAAACGTTTCCTCTGGATTTTCAAAACTAGCGGTTCACGCAAGGCAGTCAACTCATACAGGTGGAAAAACATTTTTTTTTCTGATGAGGCCAAAATTCCCAAAAAATTCATACAAACTAATTCAGACCCATAAAGAACGAATCCGGTATTAGATTTAGTGAAAAACGTTTCCTCTGGATTTTCAGAACTAGCGGTTCACGCAAGGCAGTCAACTCATACAGGTGGAAAAACATTTTTTTTTCTGATAAGGCCAAAATTCCCAAAAAATTCATACAAACTAATTCAGACCCATAAAGAACGAATCCGGTATCAGATTTAGTGAGAAACGTTTCCTCTGGATTTTCAAAACTAGCGGTTCACGCAAGGCAGTCAACTCATACAGGTGGAAAAACATTTTTTTTTCTGATAAGGCCAAAATTCCCAAAAAATTCATACAAACTAATTCAGGCTCATAAAGAACGAATCCGGTATTAGATTTAGTGAAAAACGTTTCCTCTGGATTTTCAAAACTAGCGGTTCACGCAAATCAGTCAACTCATACAGGTGGAAAAAACATTTTTGTTTTCTGATAAGGCCAAAATTCCCAGAAAATTCATACAAACTAATTTCAGACCCATAAAGAACGAATCCGGTATCAGAATTAGTGAAAAACGTTTCCTCTGGATTTTCAAAACTAGCGGTTCACGCAAGGCAGTCAACTCATACAGGTGGGAAAAACATTTTTTTTTTTTGATGAGGCTAAAATTCCCAAAAAATTCATACAAACTAATTCAGACCCATAAAGAACGAATCCGGTATCAGATTTAGTGAAAAACGTTTCCTCTGGATTTTCAAAACTAGCGGTTCACGCAAATCAGTCAACTCATACAGGTGGGAAAAACATTTTTGTTTTCTGATAAGGCCAAAATTCCCAGAAAATTCATACAATCTAATTCAGACCCATAAAGAACGAATCCGGTATTAGATTTAGTGAAAAACGTTTCCTCAGGATTTTCAAAACTAGCGGTTCACGCAAGGCAGTCAACTCATACAGGTGGAAAAACATATTTTTTTTCTGATAAGGCCAAAATTCCCAAAAAATTCATACAAACTAATTCAGACCCATAAAGAACGAATCCGGTATCAGAATTAGTGAAAAACGTTTCCTCTGGATTTTCAAAACTAGCGGTTCACGCAAGGCAGTCAACTCATACAGGTGGAAAAACATTTTTTTTTTTGATGAGGCTAAAATTCCCAAAAAATTCATACAAACTAATTCAGACCCCATAAAGAACGAATCCGGTATCAGATTTAGTGAAAAACGTTTCCTCTGGATTTTCAAAACTAGCGGTTCACGCAAATCAGTCAACTCATACAGGTGGAAAAACATTTTTTTTTTCTGATAAGGCCAAAATTCCCAGAAAATTCATACAAACTAATTCAGACCCATAAAGAACGAATCCGGTATCAGATTTAGTGAAAAACGTTTCCTCTGGATTTTCAAAACTAGCGGTTCACGCAAATCAGTCAACTCATACAGGTGGAAAAACATATTTTTTTCTGATAAGGCCAAAATTCCCAGAAAATTCATACAAACTAATTCAGACCCATATAGAACGAATCCGGTATTAGATTTAGTGAAAAACGTTTCCTCTGGATTTTCAAAACTAGCGGTTCACGCAAGGCAGTCAACTCATACAGGTGGAAAAACATTTTTTTTTCTGATAAGGCCAAAATTCCCAAAAAATTCATACAAACTAATTCAGGCCCATAAAGAACGAATCCGGTATTAGATTTAGTGAAAAACGTTTCCTCTGGATTTTCAAAACTAGCGGTTCACGCAAGGCAGTCAACTCATACAGGTGGAAAAACATTTTTTTTTTGATAAGGCCAAAATTCCCAAAAAATTCATACAAATTAATTCAGACCCATAAAGAACGAATCCGGTATCAGATTTAGTGAAAAACGTTTCCTCTGGATTTTCAAAACTAGCGGTTCACGCAAATCAGTCAACTCATACAGGTGGAAAAACATTTTTTTTTCTGATAAGGCCAAAATTCCCAGAAAATTCATACAAACTAATTCAGACCCATAAAGAACGAATCCGGTATCAGATTTAGTGAAAAACGTTTCCTCTGGATTTTCAAAACTAGCGGTTCACGCAAATCAGTCAACTCATACAGGTGGAAAAACATTTTTTTTTCTGATAAGGCCAAAATTCCCAGAAAATTCATACAAACTAATTCAGGCCCATAAAGAACGAATCCGGTATTAGATTTAGTGAAAAACGTTTCCTCTGGATTTTCAAAACTAGCGGTTCACGCAAGGCAGTCAACTCATACAGGTGGAAAAACATTTTTTTTTCTGATAAGGCCAAAATTCCCAAAAAATTCATACAAACTAATTCAGGCCCATAAAGAACGAATCCGGTATTAGATTTAGTGAAAAACGTTTCCTCTGGATTTTCAAAACTAGCGGTTCACGCAAGGCAGTCAACTCATACAGGTGGAAAAACATTTTTTTTCTGATAAGGCCAAAATTCCCAAAAAATTCATACAAACTAATTCAGACCCATAAAGAACGAATCCGGTATCAAATTTAGTGAAAAACGTTTCCTCTGGATTTTCAAAACTAGCGGTTCACGCAAATCAGTGAACTCATACAGGTGGAAAAACATTTTTTTTTCTGATAAGCCTAAAATTCCCAAAAAATTCATACAAACTAAATCAGACCCACAAAAAACGAATCTGGTATGAGATTTAGTAGAAAACTCTTCCTCAGGATTTTCAAAATTAATGCTTAAAGCAATGCAGTAGGCTCATAAAGGTCAAACAATATTTTTTTCCAACTTAGCCTGAAATTCTCGAAACATTTATAAACACTAATTCAGATATATAAAAAAAGAATCTGGTATCAGATTTAGTAGAAAACTCATCCACTGGATTTTCAAAAATATTTTTTTCTGATAAGCCTAAAATTCACAACTTTTGCAAATTGCTTGGTTGCTAGCATAAGGTTTGCTACTTAGCAAAAAACTAACAAAACTAATAATAAAACAAAATCACACAAGATCATACCTTTCACATTTCTTCAGAGTATTCCTCCAATGTTTTTCAAAAATGGGCACCAATTCCCTAGAACTGTCTTCGGGATTCATCTCCCACAAATCTTTAGTTTCCAAAGGTTTTCTGAAACCTTTCCATGCTAATGCATCAAACCAAGCAAAAAATGTTCGGGACCAGAAATTAGCTCCCTCTTCTGGGCATGGATTCTACAAAACCAAAAAAGGTCTTGAAACTTATTTTGGATTTTTACTTTACCATCAACATTGCATATTTGTTGAAAATTGCTATTGCCTACTAGGTATCATATTTTCTGATTCTGATCATGTAAATGTGAATAAATAAAAAATATTGATATCAGGAAATTTATAAGGATTTTAAAGAAAATTAAAAAACCTCACTTGTTTTTTCAGTATGCTTGGAGTGTTAACATTCACCATATTTTTCATTAAAAGCTTTCATTTTATTTTCCTTAGCATGGAATATTTGAATTCTATTTTGAAGTAGATCTTCAACCGATTGAGCTAAAATTTTGTATACATGTTGTTTACTTTGGATGACAATGCATGATAAGATTATGTGATGTTGTTCTAAATCCAATATGGCGGACCATCCAAGATGGCGGAAAAGGTATTTTTAATGCACTTCTACAATATGGGTATCAAATGTAAGGGCTCGTTGAAAGCAACTCGAAAAAAACTGTGACGTCATTCTAAATCCAATATGGTCGTCCATCCAAGATGGCGGAATAGTTATTTTTAATGCACATCTACAATATGGGTACCAAATGAAGGGGTTCGTTGAGACTATCTTAAATAATGTGAAGTCATTCTAAATCCAATATGGCCGTCCATTCAAGATGGCGGAATAGTTATGTTCAATGCACTTCTACAATATGGGTATCAAATGAAAGGGCTCATTGAGAGCCACTCAAAAAATAATAGGACGTCATTCTAAATAAAACTCTAAATCCAATATGGCGGACCATACAAGATGGCGGAATAGATATTTCTGATGCACTTCTACATGGATATCAAATGAAAGGGCTCGTTGAAAGCAACTCGAAAAATAATATGATATGACTCTAAATCCAATATGGCGGATCATCCAAGATGACGATAAAGTTATTTTTGATGCACATCTACAATATGGATATCAAATGAAGGGGTTCGTTGATATTACCTGGAAAAATAATGTGATGTCATTCTAAATCCAATATGGCGGACCATCCAAGATGGCGGAAGTTATTTTTAATGCACTTCTACAATATGGATATCAAATGAAGAGGCTAGTTGAGAGTTACTGGAAATATAATGTGACGTCACTCTAAATCCAATATAGCGGACCATCCAAGATGGCGGAATAGATATTTTAAATGCACTTCTACAATATAAGTATCAAATGAAAGGGCTCATTGAAAGCAACTCGAAAAATAATGTGACGTCATTTTAAATCCAATATGGCGGACAATCCAAGATGGCGAAATAGTTATTTCCAATGCACTTCTACAATATGGGTATCAAATGAAAAGGGTCATTAAGAGTAACTGGAAAAATAATGTGACATCACTCTAAATCCAATATAGCACACTATTGAAGTTTTTTGTGCTTTCTTATAATAAAATAAGGGTTTGCTGAGAATGAAAATGCAGATTTGAAAGGCTAGCCAGTGATAACTGAAAAGTAAAAAAAAATAAAGGTAAAAAACTCTTTGAAACAGCTTCAAAAAATGCTCTAAAAACAAGAAAATAAAATGTTCCTTATAAATTTCAACTATCAACTCATAACCTCATTATACACAATTTATATGATCATAAAAGCTTGTGGTGTGATTTATTTGTGTAAATAAACTAGTACTTATTCAATTATGTAAAATCTGCTAATCACAATTTTTTAAATTCCAATCTACAAGTTGATAGTTAGATTTTTTTTCTACTTTCAATTTATTTTATTGGTAGTCACATTGTTTCATTTATTACACATTCAATGATATGAGATTTTATCCATTTTTCACTTTTTATTTCTAAATTTAAGTTTCCAACAACAGCCATTTTCTTGAATTCAAAATAACAATTACCTAATCAGTGACATTATGTCAACATTCAACTGTTACACCAGCCAACTTTTTAAATTTATATCACTGGATTGACTAGTGAAGTGAAAGAAATATTTTGTATCTTCAAAATGTGATAGATAGGTAGCAAAATCAATTTTCACAAAATTTGCAACATTGATAAAGAATATTACCTCCACTTTAGGATATTTGGTCTCTCTGGGCTGTTGATCAGCAAAGATGTTGAGTAAAAACATTGCAATCACAAAGGGATAATATATCATGTAACTGACATAAAAATAATAGGAATCAGCAGGAAAATCCTCTTGATTAGAATCTCTTATTTCTGTACGGAACTGAGGAGCTCCAAAAAGAGCTAGGAAAAACCAAAAGAGGGACAGCAATCCAGATGTTTGTATCCCATGTTTTTTATTGTAAATTAATAGGATTCCTGTAAGTGTCTGTAACAAAATAATTGATCATCTGTTTTAGTTAATTTAAAGTTCCAAATTACTCACAAAACTGGCAAGTTTCACTAGTGGTGTATAAAGATCTACAGCAAAGACAACACCATTGTTCTCTCCTGCTCTTTTGTATGATGTCACTATATCACTCAAACACAATACTATGAGTGTCCCTGTTATAAGTAGTTTCAATAAATTGAGCCAATTCCATGGAATGTCTCTCTTTTTACTATCCATTATATAAAATATTTCTAAACTGCAAAAAACCCACAGAAATACACAGGGAACCCATACTAATACTGTCTTTTCAAAACATTTGGTTAATTCTGGATCATTTGTGTCCCAAGTAAGTGTTTGATTCTGGAAAGAGAAAAAGTATAACATTCAAATTGCACTCTTTCAATCCATATTATCTTGTTTTCTTACCCAGAATGTAGACCCACAAAATTCGTCCATAGCAGAAAGAATTGTTTCATTAATAGTGCCATTAGTGGATGAATTCGCCATGATGCAAGTCCAAGGCCGAGGGGCTCAAAACTTTGGTGAAACAGTTATCTACACGTTGGTGAAAAAAAATCAATTATCAACAAATTCACAAATAGTAATCGATGTTTTCAATGGTAGATGCGCCCCACTACGATAATTATAGAAATCAATCAATTCAATCACACTCAATGCTCAATAATAATGTGACCTCTATTTAACTGGCATAACCTCAAAATCTCCATCCATGGCAAAACTGAAACACTGAAGCACGACTGACTGCACAGTGCACGATGCACAACATATGTGATATGTGCACGACGTACTGAAAAATAATTGCTGAAAGTATCAACGACAAACGACTATCCACAAATTGCAAACGAGACGGTCGCGTAGAGATCTAGAGACAGTGCGCAACAAATAGATCGTGCTTCGTACACGTCAGAGTCAAGCTTTGTTTTCATGACAACGTTTTGCGTCGTGCGTCTTGCGTTGCCTCGTTCTGATTGGCTATTTTGACTGACGTATAATTTAGTAGAAATGAAGTTAAAAATATTTAACTTCTTTGCGTCGAACGCGAGAAATGTGGGATAGAGAACCTCTACTGTTGTAGGTTATGTTTTAGGTTTTCCCAATCACCCAAAACAGGAAGAGCACAGATTCAAGAAAATTTGAATTCAATAAAATTCAGACTATTCACAGTGTACTTACTTGGGTTTTTAATGGTTTATTGAAATATGGAAGAGTAAGTGACTACTATAGAATACTATTGTACCTGAAGAAATTGAAATACCATTCAGAGTCCTGGTCAGCAAGCTCTCTAATCAAGGTTTGAAATGCTCCTAATCTTTTTCTATTTTGGAATATAGGTCTCACCAAAAATTGTTTTTTTGCGGTAGGCACGTTTTTTTCTTCTCAAATACAAAAAAATTAGTATTTTTCTCTTCGCCAATTTTGTTCATCCATTTCGTATATATTTATAGAAAATGAATATTTCAACACAGCAGTTGTCAAATTATAACTATTTCTGGCAATAATTATTGAAAACCTATAATAAATTTCGAATATTTGATTCGAGATGGATTCAAATTCAACCTGTCAAAATCTGGAAGCGGACGCATGAATGAAAATTATAACAAATTTCATGGAATTTGCGTCATTTGAAATAGCCAATCAGAACAAGGCAACGCAAGACGCACGACGCAAAAAGTTGTCATGGAAACAAAGCTTTACAAGTTCTATGATTCTGAATTCTGTGTTCTGTTCATTGAACTGAAAATAATTCAGTTCCATGGTTCTGTCCCATACTTCAGGCACAGATTAATCTGTGTTTCTGTGATCTAGTGGCAGAGTGGCAGTAACAGCAACAGCTGATTTCACTCATATTTGACATGAGAAATTGACAATACCGAAATCAAGGTACTGAAATACACAATCCACATTCCATTCTACAGGAAATCAAAATTGTTGTTTGTTGTGGTTTTTCTTTTGGTGAAGAATTTTATTAATAATGGCAAAAACCACAAATACTAAAGCAGTTTTCCTAGATGTGGACTCCAGCATCGTTGAAAAAAATCTGCGTTTCACAGTAAGTACTGGCTAGATTTTGCTATGGATTAGTATTTGTTATTTATTTACAATAACATTGTTGAAAACTTCCTTTTAGGATTCTAATGAAGAGGAAATTACTAAAATATTTGGAGCACAAGAGTTCCCTTCCAAACTAGTGAAACCAATCCCAGGTAGTTTATTTAATAAACATTTTTTCAACTTGATATCTACCTACTAATCAGATGAATGACAATTTTATTCAATTCTATTTCTATATTTTTAAGCTGAAATAATGATAAAGCCTCCACATTCAGTCAACAATTCAACTCAAATTCAATATTGATCAAGATTGCAAGAGAAGTACCTATGATGACTATAATTTTTATCTTGGCCTCTGTTGTTTCTTACTACTTATAACTCCAACTTTACAATGGGTTTCTAATAGTGGTATTAATTTCTTCAAGGCCCTTTTCATATCTTGATTGCTTACATAACCTCAATGTGCATACTGGATCTTTAAAATATCATTATTCATCTCAATTGGATCCTTTGGATCCATTCCAATCTATCCATATACCTATCAGTTCATCAAAAGAAAGGATGGGATTATGTTGAACTGATTGAGATAATATCATCAAGTACCTAAATAGGTAGGTACTTATGTCAGGAATCATCAAGGCAATCATAATGAGGAAATAATTTTTAATCTGTGGCATTTCTATTTGTGGACAAACAGTATTTTTCCTAGTAGTAATAATATGATACTTATACCTTGTCCTTCCATAGATGATCAATGACACAAATAGAAAGAAAAGTTAATCTAGTACTGTAGTCAAAATGAAACTTGATATCAGTATACTGTTTCATTTTATGAATCATTCACAAATAGCTTGCCTATGCAAATTTTATTATATTGATTGATGAATAATAGATATAGGTTGACTCACAATATAGTATACTAGCTGTCCTGCCCGGCTTTGAAGATTAAGGTACCGATTTAAAAAAAAGAGAGATATTCTTTGCAGTGGTTCTGAGTTCTGAGCTATGCCCCTATCTACAGTACAGATATTTCTGTTATTTTTCTGGAGATTTTAAAAACATTTTTTTTTACTTTCATTTACATATAGCAACTATAATACATATACTTACACATATTCTATTCATTCTCTCAGTATCTTTTCTATCTATCTTCTATCTTTTGTTGTTGTTTTACATAAAATATCAAAAATTTCAACCCAATTGGTCAAGAAGTTTAGTAGTTGACGTAACGACAGCAGCGCCACCTAGCGCGTCAAATTCTATTTTTAAATCATCCAGGAAACCATCAAAATACCCATATGAAATTTCAATCCAATTGGTTCAGCCGTTTAGAAGTTATGTGAAAAAAAACAAGTATTGAAAAATAATTCTTATATACTACCCGTTGTTCTATTACCCGTTTTCCCGTAGGAAAATGCATTTTTTCGCGGTAAAAAGTAGCCTATGTTTATCAGGGACAATATCGACTTTTAATGGTGAAAGAATTTTGCAAATCGGTCCAGTAGTTTCCGAGCCTATTCAATACAAACAATCAAATCAATGAAAATATATATGTACAGGGTGTTCATTTCAGGACTTCCCACCCTAATTTTCTCGAAATGTGTGTATGTTTTTGAAAAATCCCGAGACACGTCAACTACATTTTCGAGGGGGACATGGTTCTAAAATATTTTCAGCCCCGCGGCGTTGCCGCTTCTAACGAAAAGAAGCAACAACTTTGTTATTTCATATGGGACACCCTGTATTTTATTGCATTTTTAGATTCTCCCTGAAAAGCTGATTTCATCAATGTATCACACTTGGGGTCTAGCAGGAATGATTACAGAGATATAGGGTGTTCAAAATCGAGATTTTACAACTTTAGGATTTTTTTGAGTCGAAACTATTCATTATTGGTCAAAACGGCTTTCATGTCCCTATCTCAACTTTTGATTTACTATCTATTGACATTTAATAATTGGAACAGATACAGGGTGATCAAAAGTCTGAATCTTGAACCACCCTGTATTTGTTTCAAATAAATGTCAGTAGATAGTAAATCAAAAGTTGAGTTATGGACATAAAAGCCGTTTTGACCAATAATGAATAGTTTCGACTCAAAAAAATCCTAAAGTTGTAAAATCTCGATTTTGAACACCCTATATCTCTGTAATCATTCCTGCTAGACCCCAAGTGTGATACATTGATGAAATCAGCTTTTCAGGGAGAATCTAAAAATGCAATAAAATACAGGCTGTTCCATTTGAAATAACAAAGTTGTTGCTTCTTTTCGTTAGAAGCGGCAACGCCGCGAGGCTGAAAATATTTTAGAACCATGTCCCCCTCGAAAATGTAGTTGACGTGTCTCGGGATTTTTCAAAAACATACACACATTTCGAGAAAATTAGGGTGGGAAGTCCTGAAATGAACACCCTGTATATTCAAAGTCAGTCGACCACACTTTATGTAAAAAATAGTCAATTACAAGATACCGGTTCCGGCACAACGACCATTTTCAGACTGCAGTCTTTTAATTATTGACGAATTTTTACATGAAGTGTGGTCGACTGACTGAGTATTTTTATTTTCATTGAAAATACATTGGACTACTTTGAGTATGAATGATTTCTACGATTCAAACAATCAAATATTTCCTCTTTATAAAATTAATGAGAAAAAATTGGGGGAGCAAGCAAAATTCATTTCACGTAATTTAACATCAATTTGCTCAATTTCAATAGTTTTTTTATGAATTGAAGCTTCAATCTTCACGAACACATCTGACAAATCACAATTTCTGAAGGATTCCTCCTAATACTCCTAATAATATATCATATACAGGGACAAGGACATCTGCTCTTGACCTCAGTGTTCCAACGTAAAATAATGAAAATTTCATGTTGGTAACATTGGAAATGGGGAAAAAATGGAGAAGATCATATTAACCTCAATAAAAAAAATGTTACAATGACCCTCTTCTCCATTTCTTCTCATTTCCAGTATTGCCAACATAAATCATTTATATTTAATTTATATTCAATTTTAATTTATCTCAAGAGTTCAAGCATTCCTTTCACCAAGATGCGTTCATCGATATTTCAAATGGAACACCCTGTATTTTATCGCATTTTCAGATTCTCCCTGAAGAGCTGATTTCATTGATACATCAAATTAATTTGGGGTCTATCGTAAATGATTACAGAGATATAGGGGGTTCAAAATCGTTATTTTTCAACTTTAGGATTTTTTTGTGTCGAAACTATTTATTATCGATCAAAACGGCTCACATGTCCCTATCTCAACTTCCTGTATTCCTTTAAGGCCCTAGGGCGGTAGAGTGCAACTTTACGTCCGCGAATCCGGGCGTTAAAATGCCACTTTGTGCCTGGTCGTGCATAAAAAAATCAAATCGAGACACTTCAAGAGGCAATTGATGTTAATTTCTTTTCGTTTCTTTGTCACCTATGGTATATTTTTTAGTAAACGCTTACTTGTTCAGCACTTCGAAACAGTGTTGATAATATTCGTTCATGATCGTAAAAAAATACCTTGAAGGTGAAAGACGGAAAGTACCTACAGGCCAGGAAAACCTGTTTAGCATTTTTATACCAAACCAAAGAGTTGTATTTTGACATTCCAATGCCAGTAAAGATGATTCCCCATTATTATAGTTGCCGTCAACAGTATAAGATAATGAAAAAATTGTAAGAAAAACGCGTAGTTTTTTCTTCTCCATCTCTGCCTCATAGTGTTGGGGGCAAGTGGTGCAAGAATATGAAATATCTAGCTAATGTTCAATATCGAACGTGAATTTACTAATTCTCTTCGTTTGGAAATACGAGTAAATAAAAGATAAGTTCTAGATACTTCATTGAAGAGATATGTGCAGAGTAATGAAGAATTTGAAATATCTAGCTATAATGTTCAATATCGAATGTGAATTTATTAATTCTCTTCGTTTGGATATACGAGTAGGTAAATTAGAGATCAGTTATCTAGATATACTTACTTCATTGAAGAAATATATGCAGAGTAATAATTCGATTATTCACCATTCATCAAAAAGTTATTCAAAAAAAATTACCTTAACAAATGAAAAAGTTTGAACATTCGCGTATATACAGGGCATTCATTCAATAGATACTTAATGCATTCTTCGATCACGACTGTCAGAAATTCAGATAATTTATACTTTATACAGATAATATGAATTTAATCTAGAGAAGGGAATTCGCGAATAAGTGCATATATACGCCTACATGCCGTTACATGAAAATGTATTCAACTTTCCTATTAATCAGCATTTAGCATGCGATGGGTTTTTTTTCGAAAATTATTTTTTGGTACTTACGTATTTTTGTCTGAAAAACACGAATTTGATAATGAAAATGTGAACAAACCATTTTTTATTAAGATATTTCACTATAAAGTTACAAATTTCACCTTCTTTTCCGCCTGTCTTCTGGATTGAATTTAAAACAATTTACCTTTCTTTTTCCATCATTGGACAATTTATATATATCACAATGTAAGACACATTTTTTTCTATTATTGAGTCAACTAGAAATATGATTTTCTTGTGATTTATCCATATTTATTGAAAAGAAGGAAGGATATCATTTGAAATATTGGCGTGTGTAATGTCATTCAGAAGCACTCTGTTGACATTTGACATCTCGTATCTGGATTGACTATTAATTAAATGGCCGTCATCTGGTATGCTTGTTCACTGAATATGAAAAACTCCCCATAAAAATCATATCATTTTGAATTTTCTGTATAAAATGTGTGATTGAAGTACATCATGAGTATAAAAAGTGTCCAATGACAAAATAAGAAGAGCAAGTACCTGTAAATGCATCCAACACAAGGGGAAAAAGGAGTCGAAAGTTCGAACTTTTTTTTGAAATATCTCGATAAATAGTGGTTTGTTCACATTATGATTGTCAAATTCGTGTTTTTCAGACAAAAATACGTAAGTACCACAAAAAAAATTTCGAAGAAAAACCATCGCATGCTAAATGCAGTTTTACCAACCAAACTTTATTAGAGAAAAATTGCAATGAAACTATTGAATTATTGGAATGTCCACATTTTGTTCGCATTATTCCACCTATCGCCCCCACATAACACTTGGCGCGGCAGATGCAAAGACCCGCGCGGCAAGGATGTA